TTTTTTTTTTTTTTTCATTTTTTGTTCAGATAGAATGGGAGGGAGAGAGAGGAACAGAGAGAGAGAGAGAAACATCGATGTGAAAGGGACACATCGAGTGGCTGCCACCCGCACGACCTACCAGGGCCGGGGACAAACTGCAACCGAGGTACGTGCCCTTAGCGGGAACCGAACCCGGGTCTCTCAGGACTGCAGGCCGATGCTTTAACCGCTGAGCCAAACCGGCCAGGGCTCAGTTGTATTTCTATATAGCAGCCTCAAGAAAATTAAAAATGGAATGCAAAATACTATAAATAATAATGTCAAACATATCAATACCCAGGAATTAATATAATGAAAGAAGTACAAGACATGCAGAGAAAATGAGAGACTGCATGGAGAGATGCCACATTCATGGATTGAAGGACAATGTTGGGAAGATGTCAGTGTTCTGAAAATAATCTGTAGATTCAATGGATTCCAACCAAAATCTAGGACAATGGCTTTCAACCTTTTAACTGTGTTCCAATTACACACACACTCACTCACACACACACAACAAGAACAAAAGTTTTGCGAAGCAGTACTTACCCTGATTACTTCAGATTGACTTTGATATTTTCTGTTGTTTCTTGATCACGTTTTTAATGCTGGTTTGGGCAACTAAATTGATTTCATTATCCACTAACGCGACGAAGTCTGCAGTTTTAAGTTCCTGTGGAAGCACCAAGTACCCTGGGCAAGCCATCCCCCACCACACTGGTCTCCCCAAGGCCAATGCCAGTCACTGGTGGGCGAGCTTCTTTTTCAGGAAGTCCACTGTCATTCATGGCCACAGTGTTGGAGTCTCCAGAGCACTTGGAATCTCCCCAGGCCTCCAGCGGCATGGTCACCTGTGGCCTGGCTGGGGAAGCCACAAGGAAGCAGCCTGGCAGAGCTAATGCTGGTCCCCCATCCTGAGTGGCCACCACCAGGCCCTACCCCTCCACCCTTCCTCCTCTACCCTCTTCCTCCTCTCCACCCCCACAGACTAGCAGGCTGCAGCAAACAGAAGTCATTGGTTCTTTTATATCAAAAGGGCAGAGCACCAAAAAGGAAGTTGAGAGCCCTGCTTTTTACCACACAAGCCACTGCCTTCTGACACGGGTGCCGTGTACCAAGTGGAAAATAAACGACAAACAGCCAGCAAAAGAACCAAAAACCCTGCCATTTTAGAAATGCCATGTGAGCGGAGACCAAGTCATTCTAGAAAGTCATTGCCCAGCTGAGAGCAAACCAGCATAGGGTGGCATTCGAAGTGGCTCGATGGCATGTAAGAACAGAGAAGCCATCTGACCTTGATCTAGAGAATGTCCTCCACGTGTCCCCCTTCATGACATGACACTGCAGAGGGGCTCCCCCAGCTTAGTCACATCACACTGAACAGTTTCCAGGAGCATTGCCTTGTCTGTGCTGTTTAGTTTTCTTGTTCTGCCTTGACTGCTGCACAGAGTGCAAGGGGCCTTGTTACAGGCACCAAACAGCCTGTGTGTGAAACCCCCATAATGTGAAAGGAGGTCTGGCCTGGGGATGGGGGAGTAGGGGCGCTAGTTTCTTCCCTGGCCACTTTGGAGCTGAGGGGAACAGTGAAAAGAGTGTAATAGGAGCATAAGAAGTGTATGCGGTGACCTGCGAATGGGGAAGCACGGGAGGGGAGCACAGACTGCATGGGACAAACTGCTCATCTGTCACGGTGGGGCTGGGAGGGGGTTGTTGTGTAACTGCAAGCAGATTTCCCCTTGAAAAGCTCAGAAATAGCCCGGCTGGTGTGGCTCGGTGGTTGAGCATTCACCCATGCACCAAGAGGTCACTGGTTTGATTCCTGGTCAGGGAACTTGCCCAGGTTGTGGGCCCAATCCCAGTGGGGTCATGCAGGAGGTGGCCAGTCGAAGTTCTCTCTCATCAGTGTTTCTGTCTCTCCCTCTCCCTTCCTATCTCTCTAAAATCAATAAAGGAAAAATATTTTTAAAAAAAGAAAAGCTCAGAAATAGAGATGAGTGATGTACGCTTATGATCAGATGTTGGCGAGATGATACAGGTGGAGAAGGCTGATTAGGGCAAGATTTGAGGGTATGTTTGAGGTGGGTCTAAGGATCAGGGCCAGGTGCGGGTGGTTTTAACTATTTTTTTTAATCCTCACCCGAGGATATGTTTATTGATTCGAGAGTTGGGGGGGAAAGGCGGGGAGAGAGAGAGAAACATTGATCAGTTGCCTCCCGTATGCTCCCTGACTGGGGATCAAACCTGCAAGCTAGGTATGTGCCCTGACCGGGAATCGAACCAGAAACACTTTTTTGGTGTACCAGACAATAATGCTCTAACCAATTGAGCCACCTGGCCAGGTCTGGCTTTGACTTTTAATTTTATAATGTATTTTCTTTTCATACACTGTGCTAGTGAGGGCAATGGTAGTTTTTTTGGTTTTGGTTGTTTCTTAACCAGATCCTGACTGCTGCATGGAAGACAGTTGCAGGGGCTGAGGCTGGGCTGGGGGGTGGAGAGGAGGTAGGGGACCCACTGACACTCAACAAGATATACTTGCTGAGCATCATCTATGTGCCTGGCCTGGTACTGGATGGTGCTGGGACACAGCAGTGACTGTGACAGCTCTGGGCCCTGTCCTCATGGGGCTCACAGCCCGTGCTGTGGCCATCAGGATGGGGTTGAACCGGATTGCGGTTTTCCAAGTAAGAATGTCTTCTTGGTCTGGAGTAGCAGGTTCCCTTTTTAGTAGATGCTTCCTATCTGCTGCTGGAACACAGCAGTTATGTCTTCTTCCTCCATTTCCAGCTGTGCAGGGGGGTCTGTTTCATTGATCCGCTGCCTCATTGACAAACCCTGTCGTTCACAATAGGCTTTCATTAGCTGACTAAGAAGTGTATGCCTCTTAGTCTTAAACTGCGCTGCAGAACCATCCTACCCACTGCCTTCAAATTAATATGATTGTTGTCCTCAGTCTTGACTCCTTCCTTGGGCTTTCCCTTGGCCATGGTGAGCACCGGAGTCTCCTCAACTTCTGCTTCACCAACAGGTAGCAGGTCTGCACCCACCGAGCACACCGCAGAAGGAGGCGGCAGTAGCAGAGCACTACGCTGCCCCTTTAAAAATTGACAGATTTGCCCTGGCTGGCTTGGCTCAGCAGCCGGAGCATCGGCCTGCAGTCCCGAGAGACCCAGGTTCAGTTCCCACTAAGGGCATGTACCTCAGTTGCAATTTGACCCCAGCCCTGGTTGGGTCGTGCAGGTGGCAGCCACTCGATGTGTCCCTTTCACTTCGATGTTTCTCTCTCTCTCCCTCTCCCTCTCCCTCCCTCTCTATCTGAACAAAAAATGGAAAAATGTCCTCAGGTGAGGATTAAAAAAAAACTTTTTTTTGACAGATTTGCCTAGCTGGTGTGGTTCAGTGGATTGAGCATTGTCCCAAGCACGAGGTTGCTGGTTTGATTCCTGGTCAGGGCACATGCCCTGGTTGCGGGCTTGATCCCTGGTGTGGGGTGTGCAGGAGGCAGCCGATCAATGTTTCTCTCCCTTTCTCTCTAAAAAAATCAATAAAAACATATATTTTTTTAAATTGACAAATTATATACCCTTTACTGCAATTTCAAATTGACAGTTAAAACTTCTCTTTGAAAGTTCAAGTAGTTACCAAGGATATAATCTGTAGTGTGTTGTGAGTATTGTCATTTTCAAACAGCTGGTGCGCCCTTCCTTTGAAGTGTCTAATGTCTAATGCAGTCCACCTCCTCTGGTGATCTGGTGCCAGCCATAAAAAAGAAAAGAAAAAAAAAGAAAAAAAAGAACAAACTCTTCTCTTACTGTCGGAAATTTTACATTCTTCCTCCTTGTCCTTGAACTTAACTTACAGCTCCCTTCTGTACAGAATTTTGCCTCATGAATTATGTATCATCAACCAAAATATGTACAGAAACTAAAATTTTAATTTTATTTAATTTCCTGTGACCATAAGTTTCTAAATGTTAAAAATATCTTCTTCTGGATTGAGTTACCTTTAAAATGATTATTAGTGCAAATTAATATAAAGCATTTCATGTATTATATATTTTTTCATGAATAATTATTAAACATTAAAATTAAAATGTGTTGAAAATGAATCTCCAAATAAGCTCGACAGGGCAATCCCATTAATTTCATGTGTCCTTAGATGAAGATTCATTATTACAGGAGTCAGGGTTCGGCATCAGTCCTGCCTTGGTTTTTAATGCTCAAGTGCCGAGAATTTTCCTTCACAAAGCAGCTAAGCAAGGCAGTTCCTGTTCCAGCAGCACCTGTCAACTCTTGAGCTACTTCCAAGGTATGTTTCCAAACCACAGTGAAGAGCTCACAACTCTTAGCGCCCTCTTCCGGGCTGATGGACAATTTAGGAGCCACCAGCCCTACAAAGAGGATTGGTTTCCCTGCGTTGACAGTCACTTAACCTCAATTCTCACATTTCATCTGCCCTTTCTTTGGATCCAGGAGGTCCCCCTCTGCCGCAGCCCTAACACGGCGTTTTGGGAATAACCGGAAAGAAAGGGGGTCGTCCTTTCTCCTGGGAAGTGGATGGGGCGAAAGTACCAGGGAGGGGGATAGGGGCTGGCCCGGGGTGGCTGGAGGGAGGAGCAGAGGGAGCTAAGCGTCTGGCAGTTAAGCCTTTACAGCTTCTGGGGACCCTGCTGGGGAGACCCTTGTGACCCTCCAAGGGCTCAGCTCCCAGTCTGAGGACCTCCCCTCCGGGGCAGGGTTTCTCATTCCTGACTGCTTGCCAGAATCTTCCTGGGATATTTAAAAAGCCCTCAGGGTCACACCCCAGGTCTGGTGAGTGGACATTCTGTGGGCGAGGCCGGTGCGGGTCTTGTTTAAAGAGCCCCCCGGCGATTCTGTTTGCCAGGGTCACTATCACTTCCACCTGGACCCCGAGGCGTGTTGGGGCGGGGCTGGCAGGGGGCTCGCAGAGCACGGGCTGACCCCTCTCTTCCCCTGCAGTGTACCACTGGGTGGAGATGCGGACCAAGATGCGCATCATGGGCTTCCGGGGCACAACCATCAAGCCACTGAACGAGGAGGCGGCTGCCGAGCTGGGCGCCGAACTCCTGGGCGAGGCCATCATCTTCATCGTGGGCGGCGGCTGCGTAGTGCTGGAGTACTGGCGCCACCAGGCGCAGCAGCGCCACAAGGAGGAGGAGCAGCGCACGGCCTGGGTCTCCATGCAGGCCGAGGTGGGCCGCCTGGCGCTGGCGCTCGAGGCGTTGCAGACACAGGTGCAGGCGGCGCCGGCGCCAGGCGCCCTGGCGGAGCTGCAGGCGCAGATGCAGGAGGTGCGCGCCCAGCTGCGCGCCCGGGAGGGGAACGCGCGGTCCACGCCCAAGACAGTGTCCGCGTCTGAGAAGTCGGAAGCTGCTGAAGCCTGAACTTGGATGTGGCCATGTGTGCCCTGGTGTGACCTTCCCGCATTACCCCTGCCCGTGCTGGCCCAGGAAACCACTGAAATCTTGATGAACTTGGTCTTTGGTCACCCCCTACTGGCCAATGGTACCTTCCACTGGGACTGTGAAGTGTTCCAGCATAGCCCCCTCCAACCTGTACCTTATTGGTACAGTCCACAGTGCTCGGCTCTCCACCCCTCATGCCCAACCTCACGGACCTGCAAGGCCCCAGCCAGCTGGACATCATGCCCACTCTTCTGGCAGAAGGAAAAAAAAATTGGAACCTGGACTTGAGCTGAATCAACCTGTCAACCTCCCCATTTACCTGATCAGTGTTACCTTTCCCTGGGACACTCATCCATTACACTGAACACCCCCTTCTTCAGTTGGTACAGACCACTGTCAGGAATGCAGCCTCTCTCCATGGACTTCGTCCTCCTCACTTTCTGAGGTGGGCTGTAGCCGAGCATCACCACGCTTTCGAGGGGGAAAGAAAGGATCCTGACTTTGAATTGATCCACAGAATACCTTTCCTTAAGCTGATCTGTGCTACCTTCTCAGTCCCTAAGTGGAATATTCCAACAGAGCCCCTCATCCTTCAGTCTCTGGCACAGCCCACTGGAATGTGCTGGTCTCAGGCAGTGCCCTCCCAACTCCCTTACATGGTGGAAGCATTGATTTGCCCAGGGTTCATCCAACCTGTCTTTCCCCGTTTACCTGTCCTCAGAGTCCCTGGGCCTTTCCTACCATCCCCCACTGTCTTCAGAGGCCTTCCTCAGGCAACTGCTGGCCATGGGTCAGGCGACCACTTCCCCCATGTTGCATTTAAATCCGTTGCTCTGTGGGCTCTTGCCCCCCTCCCCTGGGGCCGTGGACTGGTCCAGCAGTCCCTCTTCATGCACTGGGACCGCCTGCCTCCCCAGCCCCGCGTGCCACCTCCCTCTCACTGGCTGGTCTTACCTTCTTCGGTAGTTTCCTAGAGCTGCCAGAGCAAATGACCACAACTTGGTGGCTTAAAGCAACCAGAATTTATTCTCTCACAGTTCTAGAGGCCACAGGTCCAAAATCGAGTGTCAGTAGGGCCGCGCTCCCTCCAACGGCTTGAGTGAAAGACCCTTCCTGTCTCCTCCAGCTTCTGGTGTCTCCAGGTGCTCCTGGGCTTGTGGCTGCCTATCTCCATTCTCTGCCTCTGTCTTCACGTGGCCTTCTTCTGTCTCTCATAAAGACACCTGGCCATTGGATTTAGGCCCGCCCTAAGTCTACGAAAGACCCCTTTTCCAAAGAAGCTCATTTCACAAGCTCCATGGGTAAGGATGTAGACAAATCTTTTGGGGGGGGGGTATCACCATTCCACCCACTACACCTCCCCACCCCAAGTGCTGCCCACCCCGTGGGACACTGGGCTTTCCCCGCGTGGAGGAACGATCCAGGAACCACCCTTCACCACTTGGCTTCTCTTCCAGACTCACCAGTCTGGGTTCTATTTTTCAGACTGTAGATGTTTCTTAATTAAAGGAGCCCTGGGATGAGGAAGTCATCTCAAGGGTGTGTCTGAGAACCATTTTATGGATCTCCAAAATGGGTACAAAGCTTATTAAAATTAGGAGAGAAGCCCGGCCCGGTGTGGCTCAGTGGTTGAGCGTTGACCCATACACCAAGAGGTCGCCGGTTCGATTCCCGGTCAGGGCACATGCCCACGTTGTGGGCCTGATCCCCAGTGAGGGGCAGGCAGGAGGCAGCCAGTTGATGTTCTCTCTCATCGATGTTTCTGTCTCTCTCCCTTCCTCTCTCTAAAATCAAGAAAGGAAAAAAAATTAGGAGAGAAGCCAAGAGAGATTTCACAGGGATGAGTGAGTTGAGTCATCCTATGAACTCTCCCAGATGGGGAAAATGAAGCTCTGAAGGAGCAAAGTACATGCCCACAGCCACGAAGCCCACGAGGGACGGGAGTCAGCGCCACCGGGAAACACAGGAGCCCAGAGTGTCCTGGGTGCAGGGTGTTTGAGGGTACAGGTGTGTGGCAAGGAGGAAGATGAGGGAGGCAGATTATTGGGGGAAGGGCGGGAATCTACAGGGATCCCAGAAGCAGCACTGGGAGCGGGTGGCCCCCCATCCTTATCAGAGCAGCCCTGGACCACACCGAAGGTCTTGGCAGTTGGTGAATGGGGTTAGATTCATTTCATCTGGGCCCTTTTCAAGCGATGGGAGAGGTTTTCTGTCATTTCCCTGGGCAGTTAATAATGACCTGGACACACGACCTGGTAGAAAACCAGTAAACTGGAATTCTGAAACAGTTCTTTGTAGGAGAAGGGGAGATGGGTCCTGGGTGGGGGCTGGGGGAGTGAAAGCAGGAGTGACCTGAGCGAGTTGAATGACGAGGGAAGAAGGCAAGAGATACCACTGCCTGAGAGGGTGGTGGATGGAGGAGCCAGGTGAGCAGGCTCAGTGCCTGGTTTCCATGGTTACCCCTGAGGGGTTCACTGGCCCTGCCACCGTCAGATGGAATTCACTGAGCTCTGGTCGGGTGCCGGGCACTCTTCTAAGTGCTTTCCATGATCCCGGCAACATTTTCTTCATTTCCTTCATGAAGAAACAGGCACAGAAAGGGAAAGTCACCTGCCCAAGGGCTACACAGGCAGGGAAGAGGCAGAGGTGGGACATGAAGACGGGCAGTATGGGCCAAACCCCTGTCCCCACCCTGATGTAGCACTCACGCGCGTGAGGAGGAAAACAGCCCCTATGTGTCCTGACGTGTGGCCAGACCGGTGGGACGCAGCAGCTTCCCCCGCCAGGGAAGGGGGTCGGGGTGTGTGGAAGCGGAAGGAGCCCCCTCTCAAAATGCACGAGGCCAGAGGATGGGCAGTTCATTGCTCTGACTTACTACTAGCAAAAATTTTGTATGGATTTGCGACTTGAGGAGAGGGGTTAGAATAAATTTGTAATTCAGGTTGGTTGACTTCAAGTTGCTGTGCCGTTTCTTTTTTCATATTTGAAAAATCCCTGTTAACCTTTGCAAAAATGTCCTTCATTTATTCTTTCATCTAAAAAACTGTCACCCAGGTGCCCACTGTGCCCTGCCCTGTTCTGTGCCGCGTGGAGTCCCGGCAGTGACTGAGACAGCCTCAGCCCTCCCTCACAGGACTCGCAGGCCAGTGGGGAGACAGGTGCACAGACATTATTTCCCAGCGCTACTGCGCCTCTGGTTATTTGGGAATTAGGGGCCAGGCTGATTCCAGACTCCTCCCTCCTGAAGTACTCGGGGCTTTTGCGAATAAAGAACAGAAACCCTTGCACACTGGCTCACGAGAGCCTCAAACTGTGTTCAAGAACTCTCCCTCCCGTCTCCTGCAGGCCCCGTTGGCCCCCATGTTGCTGTCCCTGCCTGGCGGGCCCTTGCCTGGTGAGAGCCACCCCAGGAGAAAATGGACTTCACAGAGCCCCTGCCTGATCCTTGGCCCATCCCCGTATGAGCCACTGTCGCGCTGAGTGGCTAGGCTGGGTCCCCCAGCCCCAAGGACAGAGGGAGGGGAGGAACACGCCCAAAGGAGAATTGAGTGGGTATCATCTACCCACACCAAGAGCCTGGCCCCATTCTAGTAGCTGAATCAGCAGGGAACAGACAAAGTCCCTGCCATTGTGGAGCTAATACTGGTGTGGGAGAGGGACAGTAAAGAAGTGAACAATTGTAATACATTCAACAATAAAGATGAGTTTAAAAAAACAGAACTGACCTGGTGTCTGAGTTCAGGAGTAATGGGGAAGGCTGGTTTTGGTCAGGGTCATGGAGGAAGCAACATTTGAGATGAGCCTTGAAGGCACTGCTTGGGAATGAGAAAGAGCTATTAGTATATACAAAGGCCCTGAGGCAGGAATGGGATCGACCTATTCCTGGAACAGCAAAAGGCTCTGTTACAGGAATAGAGCAGGGGTTGGTGGACTAAGGCTCTGAAACCAAATCCAGTGATCACAGTCACACTCATCCATTTATAGACAGGGCTGGGCAAAAGTAGGTTTACTACCAGGCCTGCGTGGCTCAGTGGACTGAGCGTCATCCCACGGACTAAGAGGTCCGGGTTCCATTCCTGGTCAGGCAGGGCACATGCCCGGTTGCTATCATATGGCCATCAACGACGAACGTATTTAGTATCCAGCCCTTTACATAAAGAGTTCACTGACCCCTGGAATAGAGGAAGTAATGGGAGCGGGAGGGGGTCAGGAGAACAAAGGCCTGTCCCCTTGCCTCAGTTGGCAGGACTGGAGGGTCCCACCAGCTCCAGACGCCCTTCAGGTGGACTGTTGGGACTGCGGTCATTTAGCTTCTTCCTTCCCAGCCCTACTTCCCTCACTCCCCACCCACAGGAGCTGTTCCCAAGGCTCCGCAGTGACCCTGCTGCATGGTCTCAGCCTCCATCTCGCTCTGTGGCATACAGTTCTGTAATCCACCACGCACGTGCAGCATTTCCACAGTAATTCAGTTCACCCTGTAGACGTGCGTTATAAATATTGCAGCATGAATACATTGTGGCATAGAATACAATGATATATAAAAATATATTTTATGTAATATGTAATGTAGCATTGTACATTACATGTTGCGTGTGTTTATATATATATATCATTGGAGTGGCAGTTTCACTAAATAATTCCCCTAATATGTGCCGTCTGTTTCCTATTGCATTCCATTTCATAAAGAGAAGTACAGATACCTATGTGGATATATACCTAATATGTATTACCAACACATGAACTCTATTGTATGTATTATATAACATGGGTTATATTTTAATATCATACATTATATATTAGTATCTTGGTAGAACAAAAGTTTTGCTTAACAATACTTGCCCTTACCCTGTGCAGTGTACTGTCACTTTCTATTCTCTTTTCTTCTATGTCATAGAAGCCTGCGCACATGTGTTATTACACATCCTGCATGAAGTAGGCTGCCTTGGGCCGTGGTGAAGATTGGCTTTCACTCTGGGTGAGCAGAGGAAGGATGTGAGCTGACTTTTGTTTTGTTTTCTTAATCCTCGCCTGAGGATACATTTCTGTTACTTCAATCCATCAAGCTCACAGTGACATGTTGCAGCAGCCACAGGAAACTGGTGCGCTCTGGCCATCTCTCTGCTGCCCCATCTGAGGAGCTCTGACCTCTCCATTAAAGAAGGGATAGGCCGGCCCTGGCCAGTTTGGCACAGTGGCTAGAGCGTCGGCCGGCAGTCCAGAGAGACCCGGGTTCGGTTCCCGCTAGGGGCGCGTACCTCGGTTGCAGTTTGTCCCTGGCCCTGGTTGGTCGTGCGGGTGGCAGCCACTCGATGTGTCCCTTTCACGTCAATGTTTCTTTTTCTCTCTCTTCCTCTCTCTCCCTCCCACTCTATCTGAACAAAAAATGGAAAAAAATGTCCTCGGGTGAGGATTAAAAAAAAAAAAGAAGGGAAGGAATGGAACCCGTGACTCATTGGTGTGCGGCCGCCCAGCCAGTGCAGCTCAGTGGTTGAGCGTCGACCCATGGACTGAGAGGTCACCAGTTCGATACCCAGTCAGCACACACGCCCAGGTTGTGGGCCTGATCCCCAGTGGGGGGCATGCAGGAGGCGGCCAGTCAATGTTCTCTCTCATCGATGTTTCCATCTCTTGCTCCCTCTCCCTTCCTCTTTCTCTAAAATCAATAAAGAAAAAAGAAGAAATGGAAAGCAGTTTACTGTGCTTTGTAACCAGCACTTCCTGTTAGTACGTGTCTGTAAGGTAGCCAGGTGCCGCCGGTGGGAGGTGGGAAGAAACCGAAAAGCCAAACAGCCGAATAAGCAGAAATCGGGCTTTATTGGGTGCACTCCGGGCGGGCTCACAGACTCCGGGGGTCGAGTCCGAGAAGCCACGCCCGATGCTGGGGTTTGTGATTTTTATATCCGCGCCTGTGGCAGCAGGAACTTGTTGTTAGGTTAGGTCCTGAGGGGCTACGCGTGGGGGCCCCTGGAATGTGAGTCTATTGTCCCAGAGCAAACAGTTCCTGGACTAGGACAGGAGAATGGGACAGGAGTTGATCTATGCGTTCGGGGCAAACAGTTCCTGAAACAGGGTGGGAGTTTAGGTTGGGTAAGCGAGGTAACGGCTGAGCAGTTTGCCTGGCTCCAGTTCCCAGGCTCTCGGACATTCCCGACTCTGTGATATAGGAACAGGGGCCAGGTCATCTTTCTGACTCCTTCCTGCTGGACGGGGGCGGCGTCAGAGGGGGGGTGGTCCGAGTCCGGGGGACTGGTCAAAGGCTGGTAATGTTGTAGCATCATTTGGTGGACCTCTATTGTCCCTGTGAGCTGTGCGAGTCGGTCCTGGATGAAGCGGAGAAAACGGGGCAATTAGCAGTATAATTATTATGATGATGGTTGGGCCGAGGAGGGGGAGGGGTAAGGAGGACATGGAGGAATTCCACCAGGAGGAGGCGTCTACAGAGAACTTTTGTTTTTTTAGTTCTGAACTTAGCTGGTGGAGGGTTTCAATGCGGGTTTCTACCAAACCTGATTCGTTGATATAATAGCAACATTCTTCCCCAAGAAAGAGACAGGTTCCTCCGTGTTCCGCTGTGAGGAGGTCCAGGGCCCTTCGATTCTGCATCGACAGCTGGGCCAGGGAGGTGATCTGCCTCTGG